CATAGATCAAATCAAGTGTATAAACAGTTCTTGTAACAAACAAAGCGGGGCTGATTATTTAAATCAGCGAATTGCATGGACGATTTAGGAAATAAGCGCTATGAAAGTTAATGTATTAAAGTAAAAACCTGTAAAGTAATAATGGTAGATGAATAAGGAAAACACATTTGAAAATGTTCGTGCGCGCTTAATTGTACATCAACAAATAAAACAAATTTCGTCAATTTGTCACCATCTACATCATCTAATGCATCCCGTGTAAGTTTAGATGTAACTTTATTTTTTTATTACATATAGTTATTATCTGCTTTCTTTTTTCCTTTCTTTTACTGTCTTTCTGGAGTTAATGCATTGCATATACCCTCAAAAAATTCTAACAATGGCTTGGGCCTTCCGCAACTATTGCTTAAAAATTCTTATTTTCTTTGTTTTTTTTGATATACAGAATTTTCAATATTACCTTGTATATATTCATTATTTTTATTTTCACTTAAGCAATTATAACAAAGCGATTCTCTATTTAGCAGACCTTGATTTAACTGGTTCTTACTGAAAGTCTTAATTTACAAGTTTGAGAGTCCAGAACCGGTCTGATGCTGTATAACGGTTTTTCTAATTATAATCACCGAATAACATACTTTGAAAAAATTATTATCCTTCCATAAAAAACACCTTTACAATGAATTTATGTTGTAGGTTCTTGTACAATAATTTTAATAATGAGAGAAGAAGTTGTAATAATGGCCCTCAACCTAAGATTATTGAAGCGTGTATGCTTTTGACAAAAAAAAATAATGATTTGCTTTGGTGGAAATAATAGGGTGGGCAGACATTATTATCAAAATATTCTACACATCAAATTTTCCATTTATAAAATCATTCGACTCTTTCTTCGAAACTGATTTTAGAGGAACGATAAAAAAATTCATTAATGCAGTCAGCATTAATTGTTTGTGATAAAAAGAAAAAAAGAAAAGAAATTTCGCACACATAATTCTGGTGAACTTGAGCTACAAAACGATGTTTTCATTTAATTGTTGTGCACGACTTTTATTTATAAATATTCGGATCAGTCAATAATGTATATTGTTGCAGTCTTAATTGTTTATGTTTTTAAAAATTTTTTAATTTCCAGAATAAATACATATAAAATATATATAAATTATAATCACACTGCTTAGCTAAAATAAAAAAATATACAGCAAACAAATAAAATAAAAAAAAACAAAAAAAAACAAATCTTATGAAAACCCTAAAATTTTAAACAAAAATCCTTTGAAAAATCTCTGGAAAAATGAATTGATTAATGATAGGGACATTAGTATGGTAATAATTGTAATAATTACAATATATTTTTATAAATGGAATATAAACTAAAGTAAAGAAATTGGAAGGATTACTTGTTAAAATTGAAGAATTTGAATCAAAATAACTTTTAGTTAATAAAATTTCAACAAAGCATTTTGATATAATGATTGGATAAGGCTTGAAATTTTCCAATATCCATTGATAAATACACAAATCAAATGAAAAAAGTTTCAAGTGTTCCAAGTTTTCATCATTGACATTAACATTTCTAACATTGGTTTCTCCAATTTTATAATGTTTTAAAATTTTTAGAAAAATATTTTCTGGACTTCCTTCAATTTGTTGAAATAAAAAATCTAGAACACAGGTGGTTTGCTCCAAGTTCCCTCCACCTCCAATGATTTCAAACAAGCATTCTTCTAAAATGGTGGATTTATTTCCATTATTTCCATTTCTAATGGATTGAAAAGATTCTATGATTATTCCACCAATTTCATTCAATCTATCTTTAAAGGAACAAATTATATCAATCATTGCTGGTTTTGTTAACTTGAATCCTAGATTGATGAAAGGTTGTGATTGTGCAAGAATTGTTTCTAATGTAAGATGTTCGGAAGTAGCAACATCAGTATACAAAATCTGGAAAACCAAATCACTATAATCATAACAAATTGACTCATAACCAATTTCTTTCCACATGTCAACTAATTCTGGGTGAGCAATAATTGCCTTAGACACCATTCTCAATGTTTCTGCATTTTCAAATGCATCAGTCATCTTATCAGGTTCTTCAAAAAATAGAGATGGTGGTGGTGGTGGTAATAGTGGTGGTTGAGATTGTTTTTTTTTGAAATCAATAAAATTTTTATATGAAATTTTTGGTTTTTTTGGATTTGGGATGAATTTTTTGTCAAAAATCAAAACTTTAATCTTTTCATTCAATACATTCTCTGCATTCTTACTATTCAAGGAACAAAAATTTTCAAGATCATTACCATTTAAACAAAAATCTCCATTCCATCTACGATTTCCTTCTGCTAATAATTTTTTATAGACATCTAGCGGTAAATCTGAACCCCACGATTTTTCAAATTTACTATAATCAGATCCCTCATACCTCCCATAGCATTTCATGAGTACTTGAAGAAAATATTGCGATAATATCGCATCGTTTTTCAAAGCACAATCTACCAAGTCAACACTAATGAAACTTGGTCCAAAATACACCGCGAAAAACAATGAATGTGCTTTTCCATAATGGTTAATTAACCAATAACATCTTGACTCTGGATCTTTAGCAGTTTTTAACCATGACTTATTTGCTCTTGCAAAAGATGCTTCTACCAAAATATTCTCCATTTGTACACTTAATTAATTACAAGTGTTATTTCAATATATATTGTTGCAAACAAAATTTACGCTTTGCTAATTAGCTAAATTAATTAATTAAATTTGGATTGGTCCAACGATCTTTCTCGAATGTAAAAAAATTTTATAATTATCAATGGTTCATTATTCAAATATGAAGATAGATTTGTTTATAAGCTTTTATTCAATAAATGGTGACGATGGATGGTGTTTGTAACAATAATTTTTAAAAAAAAAGTTGGTAAAGGGGAATTTTTATATTGCAACCAAAATTCGCTTGTTGTGT